AATAAAAAGGTGGTGATAACTGATATAGTTAATCTGGAAGACAGACCAATGTAAAAGGAAGGATCCAGGGAAGGACTGGGCATACATTCGACCCACTATCTAGTATGAAACAAAATCGGCACTATACTATTACGACCTTAACTTTTAATACTTAATTTTTGACTTTTCACTACTCAAGACTCACCATAATCAATAAGTAGGTGATACATGTTTTAAAATTTTAATTTATTTGAGGTAACATAAATTCTTCACTATTTATATTGTAGTCTAAATCATAAATAATACTTAAAATCTAGTTTCCTAGAGTATAAATGTGAATATTTAATAGATATATGGATGATTTTTTTCACTTGGGTACATATAAATATAGGCGCAATTTGGGAGTGACTTGTAAGTTGGGGGGGCTTAGCCTCTTCAAGAAATTGTATTTTAATTGAAGTAGGTATTAACTATCTAATCTACTAATATTATATAGTAAACGTTTGAAGTAATTATTTTATACAGTTTAAAGAACGATTCATTATTTACGTGTTTTTTTTCTATAGTAGACGATCGCGGATGCACCCTCAGAACATAAAAGGTTTAATAAAAGTATTATAAATTAGTAATTACAATATACCTATTACTGATAACGTCTCAATTTGTCTAGAATATAGTCGATACCTACTCGATAGTAGTGTTTTTTTTTATAAATTTCCATCGAATCGACGGTTACAATTATAATATAATATTAAATATATATAAAAATATATATTAGGTAGGTATGTTATATAATGTTAAAATAAAGTAATGTATCCTTCAAAGGTATTTTAACATAGGGTGTGGCCCGTGTGGGGGTCAGAGCCGTCCATTTGTCTGTTTTATTTAAATATGTAAAGCCCCTACTGGTCAAAAACTGAAATTGCGCCTATGCTTAGTTAGGTAAGTACATAATAAATTTAAGGAATGATTAATTGTTTTATAAGTAGGTAACTCATATAGACATATATAGTCATATAGTAGATCTATTTACAACTATTTGTTCTTTAGTTGTACTTGAAGCAACCCACCCTAATGATAATTAATCCAAAGATCATTGGCAAGTATTTTCTTTACACATTTTCAAAAAATTTAAACATTTTCAAAACAAATTTAAATATCTTTTAACTTTTTATTTTAGATTCTGAAAGTATATATTCATTATATTGGTTTTACAAAGATGTGTGTTTTTTTCTGTCCGTCAAAAACTTTAGGGAAACCTACCCAGTAAAAATTCTTCGATTTTTTTACTTCAGCATATTTTCCAATAGAAAAGTAAATCTAGTTTGTGTATTCAATAAGTAATTTTTTTTTTCAAGTGTAACTCAAAAACGAATAACCGTAGATAGGTAGTCTTACTTTAAATGTTCACCAAATGTTAATATCACCATATAGGTACAATTGCTACCATACATGATACAACTTTCAAAATAAATAAATTTTCATTAAGTCTCTAATAAGTATTAAGTGTTATAGCAGTATATTGCTTCATTCTCATCACAATGTAATTCTAGACAATTACGGCTTTCCACAACGCGGCCCGTTGGTTATGGCTCAAATTGGCTTGTTATCAGTGTCATAGACGGTTTTATTATTGGGAATAGTGATACTTGGTAGTTGGTACAGCGTGGGGTGCGCCGCATACGTTCCCATGACGTTTTTCTTCGGTACTCAATAATACAGAGACTAGAGCAGTGGTTTTCAAACTGGGTGCCGTGGTCTTTCGGAAAGTTCAACAATTCGTCCAAGAATAAAATTATAAAAATTTGATAGCCCATCCAGCACACATTTCCAATTAAATGTTCTTATATAATTATAATTCAAAACAATTTTGTTCATCTAATTATTTAGTGGAAAAAAAAATCTGTGTGCCGTGTTTAATAAAAGTTTGAAAACCACTGGACTAGAGAGTTACGAACCACGCGCTGTGCCGCCGTTTAGTTGAGTGTCGTTAGGTTTCGTTAGATTAAGTGAGATTTACTTTATAAATAAATAATGACAGAGCCATCTAGCGCCACCAAATTATTTCTAACTCTAACGCATGAGTGAAGAACTAAACCTCACAGCTGCTGTCAGCTGCTCAATACAGATAGCGCTGTCATTACGATCTACAGTTATTATGAAAGGTATGAGAAAACCTCCATCGAGTCCATCGGATTACTTTTAAGAACAATTTATTGAGGCTTCAGACCTGGGAACATAATATAATGACATCGGCCCAATACACTGTATTGTGCAATTGCAATTGCTGAATTGCACAGTAGTACAGTGGTCAGTTATCCAGAATGCCCTAGAGGGTTCACAAGAATTAGGATTCAAATGTGTGCAATTTATAGTTATATTTGTTTATATAACTGTCTTACAACAATTTATCGTTAAATTCATTCAAGTTCCTCAACATTCTAAACCAAAATATGTATGTAATGAGTAATGACTAATGATGAATTTTGAAATTGCTGAAATGAAACCCATAGTCTGCGAAAAATGTTGTACATAATGGGTACCTATAATAGCGTGCCAGTCAAACTGTCAAAGGGTGTTTTTTCCACTTATATAGTGACTTATTCCATACTATACGTGGAGAAAAGCTCAACAATTAGGTACCTATATTATGTTCTACATACATAAGTAACATAGTTTTTAGAATAAGTTACGCCAAAAAAATATATGGTTATTTAAGGTATAAAAATAGTTTTATTTTTATATTTTTAAATCATAACTGTTTTTTTTTAATTTGTAAATTTAAAAGAAGAAGCGAATTTACCCTAAATTATTGTCTTTTGTTGGTTTTCCGACCGAATTTCCTACGGATTAGAGGCTGGTAATCTGTTATATAGAGGAGGCTTAAATTTGGTATCTTAATAAATAGGTATGCTAATGTTTCAAGTAGCAGGTAGCAGGTATATAACATTATAGGGTTGCAGAACACTAAAATATAAACTGTAGCAACCTCAGCCAGGGGACTCGACTTCGCCACTGTTAATATAAGTAAGTTAGTAGGTACAATGTTTGCGAAATGTAAAATATTAATCTGACTAGTTGAAATCAACTAGGTATCTTTAAGTTATTTATTTATTAATATACAAGCCGGTATGAGTTTATAAGTTCAAGTACATGATATTTAAGTACCTATTACCTACATAATATTATATTATACAATATCTACCTATATGATAATGTAAAAATTACGATGTGTTCATATACGTATCACATATGAGTATATTATGCTAAATAGTTATAACTTATAATATAAGTATAAATAATAATAGTTAATACTAATTTGAAACATTTTTAGTTATATATTCATAAATATATTATTCATAGTACAGTGGCGTATTTGAGGGAGGGCCATTGGTCAATGGGGGTATGCCCCCCCTTGGAATTATTCATTGGTGATCACGGTTATATCCTACATATAGGTAATAAAATGATATAGTATTTGTACAACTGTACAAGTGATATTTATTATTTATTTGGTAATTTAAATTTTTATCAACGTTACCGTCAACCCGGGTGACTTGGAACTTGGAGGTGACTTGGAACAATTGCATTATTTTTTGATAACAGCGGTTAATTTTATGCTAGATAAGGGAAATAAAATTCTGTCTCCACAAAAATATTTTTCGGAAAGTTTTGTAAAAGTTTTGTTATCATCGAAAATGTGTTATCTCTTATCAATAAGCCATGTGATACAACCATAATTTAGTAAAAAAAATCCAAATTTTCAAATCCTAATTTAAGAGCTTTGAAAGTGTAACTTGAGCTTCTAAAATCAAGGTATTGTTATTTTTTAGTGAATTCCTAATGTGTTGTTAGTGTTAATCGCTTAGTAGAATTAGGAAATAATATTATTTACATTTTTCAGGGTTGTTTTTATTTTAGGTAAAAAAAAAGTGGGTCACTTGGAACTATTATAAATGTATACCCGGCAGTCGTACGTACTGAAATTAACGGTATTAAATTTCGGTAATTATACCGAGAAAAATGGTTTTTAACACTTTTTTTTTTTTTTTTAAATATTTGTAGCGTTCCAAGTGACCTTCCACATATGATTAAATGCAATCTGCATTTGAAAAAACGCATGTTCCAAGTCACCAAAAAATCCGGGTGACTTGGAACAAGCACTTTTTATTTTTTTTTTACCTTAATTTACTTAAGACCTTAATTTTTTTTTTGCTCAATCTATTCCTTGGAGGTGTGCGACACTGCATGATTTTTTACAGAATTTAATTATCAATAATGAATGAGTTACAGTAGTTAAAAGGTGAAAATCGTTCCAAGTCACCCGGGTTGACGGTACCAAAATATATTGATAATGATACTAGCCAATTCTTGTCTAAATTCCTATATCACGTTTGTAGTAATGCACTGATTTTCCACTACCACAGAATATCTGATATCACCGATTTTACCTCGGCTTCTAATCTCCCTAATGCTTATTATTAGTAGATTTTGCTTTTACTGCTATGTTTTGTTTTAGATTAAAAACTTGGTTAAGAGCAAAGATGGACGAGGAGTGACTAACTGGTTTGGCATTATTAAATATTAATAGGGATATTAAAGTGGACGTTAAATCAATCATAGATCGATTTTAATCAGTAAAAAATAGATCTATTTTACTATGAAAATTGTTGTAAATATTTTTTTGTCAGACTTTTGTACAGTTTATATATTTTTAAAAAATGTTATTTCATTATAACAAATCACGGACTCGACTGTACTGCCTTTAGGCTTTAAGTAGGTACATATAACATGTATATCATACATTATTTTTTTATAACAGCAAATAAATTGTAAGCAATTAGATAACAATATGTTTATAATAATAAATGTAAAAAGTTATATTCCTCACAATAATTGTAGTGTATTAAAATTGTTAAATAGCCCCCCTCCCCTTGATTGAGCTCCAGCTACGCTACTGTCATAGTATGATTCTAACCTTTACTTATCAATTATCACACAAGCAATATTATATTCAAGTTTTAATTTAATTTATATGATGGTCTTCTATCCCTCGTTTGAATAAATACAGGATAACCATTAGCACTTCTCAATAATAAATCTAATTTCAACTTTATGTCATTAAATTTACAGTTTGTGTGTACGCTGTAATTTCTCAGGAACGTAGACATCATTACTTTCATTGACAGCATAGCATATTTGGATCCTGCAATAATATTTAACAATAATCAAAAATACAATCAAGTTACGTAAATTAATCGTTCTAAAATATTATATTACCAATGCATCTTCTAGGACCACCACTAAAAGCTATAAAGCTATACTTATGGCGTTTGGAAATATTTTCTTGGCTGAAGTTCTCTGGATTAAAATTTAATGGATTTGGATACGAATCACAATCACGATGAGTGAATAACGGGGCTATATAACATGTAGTACCTTTTGGCAGTAAGTGATTACCAGAAACTAAAATAAAAATGATTATGTTATAGAAACAAACTGCAGTTTTATAGTATTCACTCACTAATTTTAACATCATCTTGGAGTTCTCTAATTACTATTGGTAGTACTGGGAATAATCGAAGGGTTTCTTTTAAGACTTGTTCTAAGTACACAAGTTTAGTAGTGTCTTCAGTAGTAATTGTTTGATCTCCTTCACCTAATACGTCGTAAATTTCGTCGTAAACTTTATTCTAAAATATAAAATTATCAATTAATGTATCTACGTCAATAATTAATTTGCGTAAAATTTAGAACTTAAGTAAAACCAAAACAATTAATAAAGCAAAAGATGTTTATATTTCAGGCACCTATCTAGAAAAATCGGCGCAATTGACGAACATCGGGTGCGGTGAATCACAGTTGGAGTACCTCTGCAGTCTGCAGATATTATATAATAATAAATAGTAATAGAGTAGTGTTTACGGTTTATACGAATTCGTAAGTTTGTTTCATCATTTTTTCAATTCTTTCGATTTTTCAATCAAAAGTTTTTTTTATGTCAGTTAAGGTGTTAGAAAAATGAGCTCTTTCCATTTAGAGGGTATAGCAGATAATTTCTTTTTTAAGTTACTGTTCAAATCAGATCAATGATTAAATATGAACGTTTCAATACGTTTTATAAACTTTATTTAATATATCAACTATTAGCTGGTTGGTACAGCTTGGTGAAATAGTTTGGTAAATCTTGAGAACAGGAAAATCAATTTAATATAGAGTATAGTTACCTAATAATAATTGCCAATACTACCATACGTCCATACCGATAGAGGTGGTTTTGGAGCGTGACAAAAAATATTGTAGGTGGCTAGTGTAGGAAGTAAATTTCGGTCTTGGCCCTTGGGTGAAATGCTCGTGCAGTCTCGAGTCGTGAGTTCGTGACGCCCGAGAGTGAACTTCCCGCCCTTGGTAAACAATATACGATATTTAATAGGACGTTGCACTCGCATATTATGTAGCCTCCGTCTTACACACGTACGACATAGCAAAAACGTTTTGGAGCGGGAAAGAACCGGAGAAGGCTACAGTCATAACTAAGAAACGAAATTTTCACCACATATAAAGAAAAAAACTTTGGATGTGCAATATCGTTTTTATTTTTTTGATACCACTTATACGAAAAAAGAAGAAACATTTAAAACATGTTATTTTAAGTGTTTTAATGTATACGAGTATTTTATTCATAAGGTTACTCACTTGGATATCAGAATGAATAGCTAATAATAACAGAGAAAAACATAGTGTAATAGCACTGGTTTCACTACCCTGAAATTAAATTAATATTAATAAAAAAATAAATTGACTTAACTGTATTAATTTATAACTACTTACGCCTATCGTCATTGTAACCACCTCGTCAAGAATATCATTATCAGAAAAGTTCGCACCAGTTTCGTTCAATTCAAATAAAGTGTCCAAGAATACTTTTAAATTTTTTTCTATAATAATTAATAATATTGAGTACCTGCTATACATTACATTTATACTATTACAACACTACAACAAATGTTCAAATAACTCACTTTCTTCATCGGTATTATTCATGACAATCGTTTCTTTTGTGCAAAAACTTCTTTTTTTTTCATTTATCATCTAACAAATTCAAAAATACACTGTTTACTGAATGTCTAGACACCATTTAATCTCTATTACACGCCTACTTTTAATGGTAGTTTTTTCAAAGTTTTGAAAACGTTAGATTGTCCTTGAAGTCTAAGATATAAAGAGAAAAAAATATTTGGAAACAACCATGGTTTGTAAATCCTTATTGAATCTAATTCTGATGCTCTAAAAAATTGAATATTTAATTATTTCGTAGTAAAGTTCTTAAAATTTGTGATAAATAAAATGTTTACTTGGTCATAGCTTTTTCGAATTCAGACCCACATTGTGAATGACTGTCAAGATTGTAACCCATTGCATTTTCTATAAATGATACATTTAGACAATAAGTAGCTATATTAAGCCTTCAAAGTTCATATAGTATGAATATTAAACGTACGACATATTAAATTAAGAGTAGTAGGTGCAATGTAGTCCCAAAGGTCAAATGGTTGTGTTTTACCTAATTCCTTTTTTAGATTTCTAATGAGAATCTTGTTTTTCTCATTAAATACAGGAAAAAACTGACTTAGTAGGTTGGCATTAAATGAAGGAGTAATAAGCCGACGGTGTTTCCGCCATTTATCAACTGTAATAATAAAAGAAAAATTGATAGCCTACAATGTATTGACTCCAGACAAAATTTGTAATTTTGTAAGGTAATGTAACAAAATATTTTCAATGAAAATAATAAAAATTCGATTGAATTAATCAAAATTAGTTTTTAACGTGTAGGTAACATTAATTTAAATTTCCGTACAAATTCTTAATTTTGTTTGTACGTTAAATGTGTGTAAGTAGTAGGTATAGGTACCTACAAGGGATTCTGAGCACACCGATGAATCTATTTGTTTTACAAGTTACAAGGATGTTTTTTGATATGTGTTCAATGTGCATAATATTATGTGTAAGGCGTAACTGTACGCCTAATCTATTAGAAGCGATAACCGTGATGGCGTGATGCATATATTAACTTTTTTTTAACATACCTATTTGGTATCCATTATTCTATAATCCTGAAACAAGATGTTCAAACGAAACCTTTAGAAGTTGTTCTATTGCTATTTGCCACCATGCTACTATATTAGCCATTACTGTAATACCGTATAATAAGTAGCGTGCTCAACTTATTTGAAAGGGGGGATGATATACATTTTTGACTTTTCTCAGACCACGTTATATATACACTCATTGCTATATCATATATTTTATATTTTTATTTGACAAAAATAAGCCAAGGGGGTATATTATTATGACACTTGTACCCGCTCATGTGAGCACTCCAATGCCGTAGAACGAAGATACGTAAATATCGTAATTAGGTACCTGGTGCAGTTAGTAAGCCTTCCCCAAAAATATTCTTGATAAATTCATAAAACCTGTCCTTTTGTAAAGCTTTTGAATTATTTAACACAATCTGAAACAAATTTGGTTTTATATTTAAATACATTTGATAACATATGCTTTAAATGGGTTAATATAATATATAGGTAGTTGATTATTTAGTAATTTAACTGATTTATTATAACAAGATTTTGCTTATCTTGTTAACTGTTTAGTTTTCTCGATTCGATCTGTATACTTTTGTAAAGGCACAGAAAATATATAATCTGAACAATAATTACTTGTACATCTTCTGGTTTAATAATGTACACTCCGAAAAAAGGACCTAACCATACTTTAAAAGGCTCCGATCCGTAATTTTTGTAAAATCCCAGTAATGCATTTATAACCTCTGAAACAACGACAATAAATTAATATACCTAATAGATATACATAAAGTAACCATATCATTTTTATTTATTTATTTATTTTTTTGAAGTGTCTTATTATTTCCCTTACGTTCGGGAGTGCCAAGAAGCTCTAGTGCTGAGCCAATTATAGGGTACGCCGGGGGACCTTTCATTTTCGAGCCCAATTTATCGATATGTCTATTGTTCCATTTGTAGCGGCACCAAAAAACCGCAATAGAAATAATGGCGGAGTACAAGAGTACCTCAGTTACTGCCAATCTAAATTCACTGACCGACTGCATGATGATTGCTCCTGTTTCTAAAGCATTGTATAACGTAATATATAATTATTATTTAAATAATATTAATAAAACGTTGATTTGTTATCTTTAAGGCCCGGATGCGTATTAGGAAACCCAGGACGCCACAGAGCGCCTTATGTATACCACGTTCTCATTGGCCCATTTCAAATTGCCCGCTTTTTTTTTATCATTTATCAAATAATTTAATTTAATTTAATAATATAATATTAATTTAAATATTATATTAGGTATATTATTTAATTTAAACAAATTAAAATAACTATTTAGAAAGAAAAGGTACCTAACTAATATTAAACAATATTATTATGTTATTATAATTCAATAAATTAATGTAGAATGTGATCTCTACACAGTTATTTTTATTTTTTACTTTAGTAGGTACCTATACCTACCTCAGAGTGAACATTTCTTACTGGACTAAGTGTATTGTACTTGTACACACCTTTTGTGTTAGCTAAAAAGATTGTCTAGGTTCTTCCTAACATAGAAACAAAATACCAATCTTACTTAAATGTTTTATTTTTACTAAAACATAAGATTCTTAATTAAAATAGGTAGGTAGGTACCTTACTAAAATTTCATGCTCTAACATTAATATATGTATTGTATTTTTAATAAAGACATAACTATTTTTAGAGGAACGAATTGAACTAGTGTTCAATGATTATTTTAATAATATATGGAATGGTAGCTACTATGAAGCTAACGGTTTAAAAATCCAATTAAAGAAATTGTTGTAACTTCACATGAATGGTGCAAAAACAATTTTGGACGTCTAGTTTGGTAGTGTAGTTCATCGATGACTGAAAAGCCCTGTTATTATTTTCAATTTTATATTTGTAGGTATACACTACATTACTACCTACATCAGCAGTGGTTTATAAATAATATTTTTTTACACATTTATAATTTAACTAATTCAACCTTTTTAAAATGTTATGCAATTATTAACTATTAAGTAAACAAAATATATTAAGGTAGGTAAAAAATAATACATACATGTCTACTTACATAGTCAGAGGTTACAGAGGTTACACGATCATTGAAAGTATATAAATATTAGACAAAAAAAAAAATTGTACAAACATTTAAAACTGTGAACATATTTTAAAGTATTTTTTTTACTATGATGACCACCTCGCATGTTAAAATGCTGTCAGTTGGGCTCTGAATGTGATTTAATTGTCCTGAATGTACAACATGACTCCCTAAATAACAAAAATTTACTAACAAAATTCAAAAATTTGACCTACCCGATAATACTTTATACAGAGCCGTGTTAAGGGGGGGGGGGCAAAGGGAGCAATTTCCCCCGGGCGCCATAGTTTTGTAAAAGTAATAGGGGCGTCGTTATTTGAGCTTAATATGCTACTTGAAGCCCAAATTGTAGGGAAAGGGCTCGAATTGCCCCGGGGCGCTGAATTGCTTGACACGGCTCTGACTTTATAGGTGTTACAAGTTCCTATATAGATTATAATGACAATTATTATAAAATATACCATTCAATTGTATTATAATTTGATGAGGTAGGTAACAATTTTGAACTCAGATTTACCAATTATTTTAGCAAACGATTAAACAATTTGTTATTATATTACATTCAATTTTGTTTATTTTATGATGTAGGGATGTTTATCTTCTACATCTACTAAGTTTATTATAAATTATAATCTAAATATATCAAACTGATAATAGTATACCTAGTCACAAATAATGATATAATTTAATATAATTCCAGTATAAACTTCATAATGAAGTCATAAAATATTAATTCGAATGAAAAAAAACTATGTAAAAACAATGAAAAATACATGTTCAGTGACCTCTACCATGGGATTTTGCATTTGATTGTCCTAAATTAATGTTTTTTCATATTCAACATATTTTTAAGTATTTTTTTTACTATGATGACCATGCGAGGCGCATGTTAAATTTTTGTCTATGCACAGTAGGTATTTAGAGGTGAAAAAACTGGGAACAATCGCTGCAGGTACCACATCAGTTGAGCTCTGAATATACAACATGACTTCCTAAATATCAAAAATTTAAACAGAAGTTTATCTTATTTACATCTTGGTACCTACTTCGTTTATTAATTATTAATTAATTGATGTCGCCACTAAAATATATGTAGATATAGCTACTAAATTATAATCTAAATTTATCAAACTGATAACAGTATAGTCACATGGTTTATTTATTGACTACCAGACTACCTACCAGCTATTGTTAATTTGTCAACAGGAATATTAAATTGATTTTTGACTTGCTGTCATGTTTAAACTTTAATTGTACATCTCCGTTATAGTTGTACTTTTAATTTTAAGTTGTTAGTGTTTAAAGCATCTTAGAATTTTCACTAGTTAGGTATTTTTAAGCTCTGGTTGTTTGGGTATTTAACATGTTGGTGGTAGTTCTCTGTTTCTGCATTTCTGAATAATCAATTATATTGTATTTATAATGGATGAATTCTAAGTTCTTAAAAAATAATAATATCATTGCGGTTCTATCAAATGAAGTTTCTAATATAAATGAAAAGACCTCGATTCTTAGAGCCAATATTAATAATGTTAATGAAGTCACCTTACTGTGCTGGCATACCCAATATTTATGAAACATGACTCTGAAAAAAAAAAGTGTCTTATACATTAATATTAATCAAATAATGAGAACTATTTTTACTTACCTTGATGGATTGTCAAGCTGACCAATACGAATCCAATTAGTTTTAGAAAATTCTTGGTAAAGCATTATGAAATTCTCAACTTCATTAACATTATTAATATTGGCTCTAAGAAAACAACACAAACAACTAAAATATCGTTGCCATGTACCTACGTGAATGTTTCAAAAATCTACAATTCATATCTGTGTCACATAGTTACCACTTGTCAATATTCATTTCTTGTGTTCATTACGGATAAATTTCATTCCTATACGTATTTCTGTATAATCTTCTCCGTTAATTGTGCCTATATAATATTTTCAAATAAATATGTCATATAGATGTGTATCTATGCCTAACATTGCTGCGATGTGTGAAAATTCCTCAGCCAAATCGACAGATATTGGATGGCGATCAACGCCAAATCTCAAGTTTAACCGTACCAATGATATACGAAGACCGGAACCGTCGAAAAATTGTGATTCCGAGGGTTTTCTGGACAGCAGGTTCTGTGTGTCTGAGCCGAACATTCCCATACATCCAAAATTAGCTGGCGAGAGAGCTGCAGATATTGGGTGGGGATCAACGCCAAATCTAAAGTTTCAGCAGGTCACCAGCGATGTACGGAAACCGGAATCGTTGAAAAATTGTGATTCCAAAGGTTTTCTGGACAGCAGGTTCAGTGTATCTGAGCCGAACATTCCCATACATCCAAAATTAGCTGACGAGACAGCTGCAGATATTGGGTGGCGATCAACGCCAAATCTAAAGTTTCAGCAGGTCACCAGCGATGTACGGAAACCGGAATCGTCGAAAAATTTTGATTCCAAAGGTTTTCTGGACGAAAGGCTCTGTGTATCTGAGCCAAACATCCGCATACATCCAAAATTAGCTGGCGAGACAGCTGCAGATATTGGGTGGCGATCAACGCCAAATCTAAAGTTTCAGCAGGTCACCAGCGATGTACGGAAACCGGAAAGTCCGAGTCACAGACGACCTCGTCGTTCATTTTGGTGCAAGACAAAGAAATTTGTCAGGCGGTTCCTTTGTTGTTGTTGTTCTATTGACATGATAGACCAGTAATATGTATCTGTAGTCTGTACCATCGTCGGCTCTTCGCCACCTGTTTTGTTCTGTATTAAATTAATATTATTAATATTATTATGTTACTCATATTAAACGTATTATTATAAAGTATGTACTATGTATTAATACCTATCTATTATATCTACCTCATTCGCTTTGCATAAATATATGTAATAATCCTATATGGTCACGCAGGTGGATCAGGTGGTTGTCATGGATGTCATCGATTTTCATGATAGTAAAAAAATTAAAAATTATCTATACTAGAGTGGTTGACAAATGATTTACTTCCCCTTCCGTTTAACCACCCCAAAATCGAGCCATGTTCGGGTGCGCATAATATTATATGAGCGATATATTATAAGTCCACGCCTCTCCGTTTCGACTAGTTACTAATTATATTATAATATTTACCTATTCGCAAACAGCTCGGTGTTATATGCCTGCGGATAATGTTATTTGTTTTGCATCGTGATATGGAAATAACCGAATACACACTGAAATAAACGTGCAACCATGTAGACGTCTCTGCGGCAAACACCGCGCCGTAAGTTTGAGCTTCAGTGGTAGGTAAACATTAATAGGTACTGTTAAACATCGTGAGTAGTACTTAGAAGACGCTCCAGGCGTGTTATTCGCACACTCCACAGAGTCGGTATATTATACTGTAATACTATATAAGTGATCTGAGTTCTAACTTCTAATGTTGTACACCTCAATTTTTTGTATACAATAATATTTATTAAAATTAATATACATATCATCAGCCTAATTCGCAATATTGTCCTAACTCCAAAAATGTGATTTTGGAATTAATTGTGATTAAAATTAAGGAAAAAACTGCATTGTATGATAAAGTTGTAACTGATAAATTGTAACATTTTATCCTCCATATGACATTGATTATTAGAAATGGTCGTATCTCCGATATGATGATTTTAACAATTAGAAAAAATCATAACTCCATATTAGCGTGGTAAAAATTATGAAGATAGGATATTTAAAAATAATGAAAACTTTTTTTATACTATTTTACTTAGGTATTTGTTGAATAGTGAATCAGCGCATCTCTTAACAACATTCAGTTGAATGCAATTTATAATAAAAAAAAAAGGGTTTTTTAATAATTTACAATAATCCTCTCTATGGCAGTTATTTACATGCCATTGGGTTTTAATTATACCTATATATGGCTGTATGTAGGTACTTAATAGTTCTTTAAACTTTG